GCTCTCTGGTTCCTCGTCAGCTGATGGAGGACGACATGTTTACAGGAAAACTAAAGAGTCCGTTGAAACACACACACACACACACACACACACACACACACAACACAAACAAACACACACACACACACAACACACACACACACACACAACACACACACACACAACACACACACACACACCACACACACACACACACAACACACACACACACACACCACACATACACACACACACACACCACACACACCACATACACACACACACACACACACACACACACACACACACACACACACACACACACATCACCACACACACACACCACATACACACACACCACACACACACACACACACACCACACACACACACCACACACACACACACACACACACACACACACACACACACACCACACACACACACACACACACATAGGGATATTTCTGTCGTAGATTCTCCGTCTTTCTTCATATTAAATGATCTGATAAAATCTCTCCTGGCGTTCCTAGAGGACGTTTTTTCCCCTTCCAGCACATTCCATATTAAAGTGTGTGCCAGTAGTTTTTCATCATCCCCCCCCCCCCCCCCCCCCCCCCCCCCCCATGGCATTCCTGCAGCGATGAGACACATGTTGATGTAGAAGAGACATGAAGAAGTGGTCATAATAGGTGACCTTAGCAGATTTGTATTTATTATTTGATTTTGTTTCTCCAGCAAAGCGTTCCCCAGGAAGTCCTCGGTGACCCGGACCCCCCGCCAGTCCTCTGACTCGGACATCCAGGGCTCCAAAGACGCCGTGATCCAGGACCTGGAGAGGAAACTGCGCTTCAAAGAGGAGCGCGTCAGCAACGGGCAGCAGGTGTGTGTCCGTGTGTGTGTGTGTGTGTGTGTGTGTGTGTGTGTGTGTGTGTGTGTGTGTGTGTGTGTGTGTGTGTGTGTGTGTGTGTGTGTGTGTGTGTGTGTGTGTGTGTGTGTGTGTGTGTGTGTGTGTGTGTGTGTGTGTGACAGTCAGTAACACACATTAACAAGTCATGTAACTATTCATGGAGAACAGACCATAGATGTGGATTTAAGATTTCCACTTTAAAATGTTTTCTGCATCACATCGATGTAAATACTGCTATATTTTTATTTTACTATATTTTTAATGTTATTATAGTTTTCTTAAAATAGTTCTGTGTTTTTTATTTTATTTTTTACTTTCGGCCGGAGAATTCACAAGACATGTCACGGGCCACGGTCTGACCACACGGTGAAGAGCCCTCCTGTAGCTCCAGGTTCTAGTTCAGAGTGTAATAATCAACATTCTTCAATAGATAGACTAAACAGCTGAGGACACTGAATCACATTAGTTGTCTCTAACGGGCCGTCTCCACGGCAGCGTTAAAAAATCTTGAAACGCTTCTGCCCATTCACTTTGAATGGGGTGACGTCACTTTTTTTCGCTTTCGCCGAAATGCATTGTGGGCAGGCGAGCGGAGATTCTCAGGATTTTCAAGATCCAAAGTTGAACAATGTTCAACTTTTGAAGCTGAGGAGGAAGCGTCAGCCAATCAAATCCCGTGTACGCAAATCTGACAGTTCAAGCTCTAGCCAATCAAACGGCGTGTATGCTGGGAGAGACAGACCGCAGGTCATTTCCTCATATTCCAAAACATGGAGGAGAAATTAGCGGTAGCGAATCAATCACCCGGTGCTTTATGACCAGACCTACCGGGATATAAACCGGAGGAGCCAGGCATGGAGGGAGGTGGCAGAGACAGTGGTATGTTTTCGCCTGTTTTGAGGAGTTTATATCCAGTTTACTTCGGGCTTTTTGGCTTCATATGTCGCGGGCGGGAGATTCATGTGATTGGTTGATCGCAAAAAAATCCCCAAGCCTCAGATACGCCCACCTCCAAGATTTTTTTAACGCTGCCGTGGAGACGGCCCCTTATGGCTCGGGGTCATCTACACCCCGAGAAGGATGTGTTCCAGGTGTCCCACAACAATAACTATCTCTGACAGAGAGCTGCCCGGTCACAAGCTGGTAACATCAACAACTTGCTAGGGCAGCCCCTCCTTAAGGGAGATAGAGGCTGCTCAAGGGTTAGGGCATCTGCGTCAGAGGGGGAAAGGTCAACATGTACACAGAATTATTCCCTGACACCTTATACACATTTTTTTATTATAGTTATTTATATATAATATTTACTCCTATATCTTTCTCTTACTGTGTGAAACAAACTTGGAAATACACCTGATTCTGATATAATAAATCCATCGTGACGTGTTATAATATAACCAACTGTCGAAGCTTTAAAAAGAAAATCTACAAAGCAAAATCATAAATAAATACGTGCAAAAACATCCAAAAAGAATAGATTTGTGAAAGAGAAATAAAATAAGATTATATAGATTATAAAATATATAAAAAAATTGTAAAGTTTACGGCTCCACTGTCTCCATTCATAACTCCATCATTAACACATCATACAGTGTGTGTGTATCAGTGTGTGTGTGTGTGTGTGTGTGTGTGTGTGTGTGTGTGTGTGTGTGTGTGCTCTCACACACTAACCAGCTGACACATTAATCTGCAGAAGTTAACCTATGAGGAGAAGATGGCCCGCCGGCTGCTGGGGGCCGATAACGCCGCCACCGTGCTCCAATCAGGAGAGAGCGAGGAGGAGCCCAGCACCACACAGGTACAGGGGGGGTGCATACCTGAGGGGGGGGGGGTCCACATCTGGGGCAGTGCACACCTGGGGGGGTCCACACACACCGGAAGGTGAAAAAAGTCAGATCTTTTTGAAAAAAGTTGGAATTCTGCCATAAAATTAGGGAAAAAAGTCTGAATTTTGGGAAGATTGTCAAAACAAATGTTAAAAGTCAGGTTTCTTATAATGTCTGAAGAATCGGAATTTTATGGAAAATGTCAGAATTCTGAAAAAAGAAGTCAGAAAAACGAAAACTATTTTCCTTTTAAAACAAGACCCAATCTTTTGAAAAAAGGGAATTTTTGGAAAAAAGTTAAAATTTTCTTAAAAAGTCCGAGGTTTTCAATAAAAAATGTTTTTCACACCGAGACTCAGATCAAGGAGGAAAAGAAAAAGAAAAACCATGTCTTTATTTTACGAAATACAAATAAAAGGATAGAAAAAGTTCCAGGCCGCCAATCAGAGTTCATGAATGCAAGGCCCAATCAGAATCCAGGGAATCTAAATATTAGTGGACTGAGAGGGGGGGGGGGGGGTCCTCCCTGTAAACACTGCTGCTGGAGTTATGGGAGCGGAGGATAAACACTGTAAAGTCTGCAGAGCCACCATAAAAAGCTCTGTTTATACAAAGACCGGTGTGTGTGTGTGTGTGTGTGTGTGTGTGTGTGTGTGTGTGTGTGTGTGTGTGTGTGTGTGTGTGTGTGTGTGTGTGTGTGTGTCACCTCCACACACTGTTGGTTGTTCATTCACCTATAGGTGTATTTCTCTCTCTGTATGCCCAAAGGCTCGTTAGCATTAGTCCTAAGTCAAATAAAAAACTATGTATTTCTATGTTTACAACACACACACACACACACACACACACACACACACACACACACACACACACACACACACACACACACACACACACACACACACACACACTAACTGGCGGTGTTTCTCTCTGCAGGACGGCAGCTCTTCTGAATTTTTCCCTCAAAAGGTTTTTGTTCCTCTGTTTTTCTCTCAGTCTGTAATCGAGTTCACTCAAAGTCACTGCTGACGAGGCACCAGCTGCACACAAAGGCAGTGTGTGTGTGTGTGTGTGTGTGTGTGTGTGTGTGTGTGTGTGTGTGTGTGTGTGTGTGTGTGTGTGTGTGTGTGTGTGCTGAGCTTCCACTTTCACTGTGTTTCACAGTGGAGCTGCAACCGTCACAGAAATACAATCTGCTAACATTTTAACCAATAAAGATGAGATAATAAGATAAGAAGCACTTTATTGATCCCAATCTGGGACTTTTTCGTTGCAGCAGCATAAAAGACGAGGCATTGCACATAAGTAGAAATTAAAAGAGTACAAATAAACTATTCTAAAATGTAAAAATCTCAAAATAGAAATACAAAAGTAGAAAAATATACAAGTTGAAATGTACAGTCTACTAAATATGAAGCAGGATATTATATACATCAAGTTGGCTAACCCTTCCTGCAGACATGTCTTTAAACGCTGTCTCCAACCTCTCAAATATCATATTCAAGTGATTAAGTGGATAATTGAATGACATCACCTTGCACTTATCCAATTATCTTAGAACAGAATGAATCAGAATGACAGCGTTGCCGCTCCGCAGTGATCCAGGTGTGTCTGTAATCACAGTACAACATTCATAATATAGCGTGTGTGAAACTGGTTCAAGGTGGTTATTTCTCAGTTACCGTGTTCCAGCTCGATGCACACACACACACACACACACACACACACACACACACACACACACACACACACACACACACACACACACACACACACACACAGGGTCACGCGATGCATGTTGTCATGTTGCATTAAGCTTTAATTAGTGGTTTAATCAGAGAGGATGATGGAGGAGACGTGATGGAGGAGACGTGATGGAGGATGATGGAGACTTTAGAGAGACTCGTTCCTCAGGATAAGTGCAGGCTCTGCTGCCCAGGCCTCTCATTATCTGTCATTATCTGTGGGAACATCTGCAGAGGAGGGGGGCCACAGAGTGATGGAGCTATGTGAGGAAGAGTTAGGAAAGTGGGAGAAAGTTGGGAGTTAGTGACAGTGAATCAGAAGTAAAAGTAATCAAAAATTACGCAAAAAAATCCCAAATTGGCCTCAATAAAGTACCTCTGTTCTTATTTTATCTTCTTAAGTAAAAAAAAGTACTTAAGTAGAGTACAGAAGAGTTGGCATCAGATTGACTTAAAGAATCATATTTATGAAATGACTGCATTATGATTATTGATGCCTTCATGTGTTCACAGCTGCTAAAGGTGGAGCTAATTTTCATTACTTTACATAATGTTGGATATCTCAACCAAACTAATATTTCTGAGTTTGTTGGGAATTTTGAAAAAAGTTGGATTTTTGAAAAAAAACGATTTAATTCTGAATATTTGTTAATTATTGTATTTTTTGTATCAGCTAATAGTCTATATAAAACGGGAGAGAATCAGGACCACATTTTATTTAGATCTGACCAAAAGTTAGGTTGTTTTTCTTGCACCGAGATTGAAGTCAGAATTTAGAATAGAAAAAAACGTTGGAATTCTGAAAAAATCTGAATTTCGAAAAAAGTTAGAATTTCGAGAAAAAAAATTTTTTGCACTGAGATTAAAGTCAGAATTTTGAACAAGAAAAAGTTGGAATTCAGAAAAAAAGGCGGAATTTTGGAAAAAGGCGCAATATCGATAAAAAAGTTGGAACTTTGAAAAAGTTGACATTTTGCAAAAACGTTGGAGTTTTGAAAAAAGTTAGAAATCTGAGAAAAAATAGGGAACTTTGAAAAAAGTCAGAATTACGAGAAAAAAAAGTTGGAATTTTGAAAAAATATTTAAGAAGTCAGGATTCTGAAAACTTCACAATGTCGTAAAAAGTCAGAATTTTATGAAAAAAGTCAGAATTTTGAGAGAATTAAGTTAATTAATTTTTTTTGAATGAAGTTAATTCAAAATGCTTCTACTTGGTATACAGACGAAGGGTAAAAAGCATCCTCACCCCCCCTCCCCTGTGTAATGAACCCTTGTGACTGAGTGTGTGAAGTAGAAGCTGAAATCGCTCTGAATTGATGCTTCATTCCCTCCATGTTTCCTCTCAGGAGTACAAGGTGTCCAGCTTCGAGCAGCGCCTCATCAGTGAGATCGAGTTTCGTCTGGAACGCTCCCCGGTGGAGGAGTCGGACGAGGACGTGCAGCACGACGAGGACTCTGCGGGGGGAGCGGCGCCCTCCTTCCTCCAGAAGATCAAACACTACAAAGTGTTCGAGGGCATGCCGGTCACCTTCTCCTGCAAAGTGACCGGAGACCCCAAACCCAAGGTGAGAGGACCATCCTGAGAGAGGTAGCTGAGTCAGGAGGGCACCATAGAGTCTGAAAAACGATGGTTGTTACCAAGTGGCTGAATGGGACTACAGAAGTCGTGGAGGACGTTGTACGTCATTACGCCGAACACGTGAACACTCCTCTAAGTTAGTTAGCCCTGTTCTGCTTGAAAGCAAGTCCCTGCCTCCTGCTAACTGTTCAAACAAACGCTTCAACTCGTACCATTTAGAATCTGTGTGTTTGAATATGGATCTGAAGTTGGCGTGACGTTGAAGTCGTGCTGCTGGACTCGCCTGTAGTTCCTTTATAGCATAACGTTAGCATTTAGCTTCTGGCCATTAGAGTTATGATTAGAACATTATAAAAGTAGGGTAGACGTGTGGAGATGATCCGGCTGAACAAAACATTTATCAAACAGGTTTCCACAGACCTTATTTTTTACAATATTCCAAAATCCTCTGGAGAAACCTCTTAGCTTTTTTGTCGAGGGAACCCATGCGCAGCTTCCTGCAGGGTATATACGTCATCCCTGCTCCGCTCTATTGGACCATCATTGACTAAATACACTTCATGCTGTAGTGAGGAAGACTTGAAGCTAGAGGTCACACATCAAGCGTTGTTCCCTCGTAGACTTCTATATCACAGCTTTCTTTCTGTCCTGCTGCAGGTGTACTGGTTCAAAGACGGGAAGCAGATCTCAAAGCGCAGCGAGCACTACCGGATCAGCCGCGGCTCCGACGGGACGAGCTCCCTCCACACCGCCAACGCCTCGCTGGACGACGACGGGAACTACACCATCATGGCCGGAAACCCCCAGGTGAGCAACAGGAAGAAAATCTGTGCACCTGACTCATTATCACACTTACATTTAGTACGGTAGGAAGAAATAACACAACATCGGTTCTGATTGGTCTAAACCAGGGGGGTCCAAACGTTCTTCACCGAGGGCCACATACAGAAAGATATACGAAGGTGTGGGCCGCTCACTAGAGGTATACACTCATAAGTTGAGTTATAAGTTAGCAAAATGAATCAAATGTAGGTAAATGATGGTTAATACTTGAGTATGCTTTAAGGCGAGACACCCCAGGTGAATAGGGTAATTTTTTTAACTTAAAGATATCAGCTAGAAATGTCTCCAGTTAGTTACTTACAAAAAGGCAATTGTTTTTTGTATTACAAGTTTTCTGAAATAGCATGTTTAAATATGCAAATGACCCATTATCTCATGAAATATGCGCATATTTTAACACATTTCAGGAACCGAAATCTGAACTTTGGATAAAGCCAGGATCAAAGTTATTGTTTCATTTTGTAGTCATATTAGTATCTAAGGCTTTTACAGAAGGGATTTTGGATATCTCTTTGTATCACTGTATAAATCAGAAAATACTGTCTACAGCCCTAAAATATCAATTTTCACCATGTTTTTAGGTATAAAATGTTATATAATTCAGGCTATGAATTATATATGACCAAACCCTTCTGTAAAAGCCTTCATAATATTGATAGGAATATAACTGGAAGGTTTGGTGTATGTAACTGCTACTGAAGTGGACATTTCGAACTCAGAGTAGGAGAAAAAACTCATTTTGAGAAAACGACCTTTAAAGATTTGCAGTGTGACGCTAGCTAAACCCTCCTGTTATCTGGATGATAGCTTGCGCATCGACGCACTCCGTGAAGGTATTTCATGTTCGGGGTCATTTGTTTTTTGTATAACCTTGCTTTGTGCAAGTGACAATTGTTGTCGTCTTCTCTGTGAACGTTTTTTTCACCGTTATTTTGCCATTTTCAGATTTAAATTTCTAGCGGAAAGCTAACCAGGAAGTGCTTTAGCACACCACGTGACGCATCTGAACGAATCACGTTGTCAGAAATTGACACCAGCCAATGAGATTTCGTTTCTTGGTTTAAGACCCCTTTGCACTTTCACGATTGGTTGCTGATACAAAGGAAATGACCATATTTGGATCCGATGAGATTGTGCAGGAGAAACGGAGCTTTCCAACGATACCTCTGAAGACATGGTGCAAACAGCGGTCGCGGTACTTTATGTTACGTTAGAATGCTAACTTTTGGTGAATTTAGGAGAAATCTACAGACGCAAATAGACAAACTATAGTAAAATAAACACTTAAATGTGTATTTTGTACGTTTTCCTTCCAAAAGCCTGAAAGAAAACATGTTATGGAATCAAAATAGCACAAAATCTCAAAATTGACCAGTGCAGGAAAAACGATGTTTTTGCCTGCCATGTCTCGCCTTAAGAAAACAACAGCCTACATCCCAGCTCTCCAGAGGGTTTACTTTACTTAGTTAGCAGCTCATTCCTTAACCTGAGACCCCGGTACCGGGGCACTGCCGCAACATCTTGCAGGAAACAGTGTCTGAGGGCATGTTCATTTAATAAAACTATGAATGTTTTATATCCATGTAACGGGAAGAAACTCATCTAACTGATCATTATTTTTTTTTTTTCAAAAGAAAACCCACAATGCTAACACTGAGCCTCTGAATTAGCAACGAGCGAAAAATGCTAACACCTTACTGCACCAAAGATTGATTGATTGATTGAAAAGTTTATTAACAGCTTGTATATTGGGTACAGTACAGTACAGCTCAAAACATACAATTGTTAAGGGGATGCAGACCAGAGAAAGACTTTCGTCTTGTTTACATCAGGGTCCCCCATTTCCAATTCATCATATCATTTAAGACATATAAGACATATTTGACATACAGATGGCTTATTTACAATTTACATACAGGTGGTTTTTTACATACAGATGGCTTATTTACAATTTTCATTTTAGATTTCGTTCTAATACATCCTAACCGGACATTTAAGACATACCAAGTCTACAGATATACAGTTAGTAACAGAGTCTAAAATGCGAGTATATACATAGATGGGGGGGGGAAGCTGTCCATTGTACGACAGGTTGAGATTTGTACCATTACCGGGGCCAGTTTTGCAATGCTTTCCCCCGAAGGTGCTCTTTAAGAGAGGTTTTGAAGGTAAGTATAGTTTTACTTTCCTTTACAGTTGTGGGAAGAGCGTTCCACCTTGATGTGGCATAATTGCGAAACGTGTATTCCCCTTTTTTTGTGCCAAATCTGGGTTTTACATGATTTGTGGAGCTCCCTCTGGTGTTATGATCATGGTATTCCTTGACCTTTGGGAAGAATTTTGACATGTACATGGGTACCATAGAGGTGTAGTGGATCTTGTAGACCAGGCCCATTGCAAGTAGCTGTACTCTGTCGTCTACTCTAGATCACTCACAAAACCTTATTATTTATCTTTTCACCACATCCAACACCTCGATTCACATCGTGAGGTGACAGAGAATCTAACGACACCGACATTACCACTGAATTATACGTATTTGCGACGTTATAAGCAAAAACGGACATCAAAACAGGTGACGCTAGGTAGCTAAAAATGCTAACATTTTTACCTTGGCTCTGTAGTCTCTCCAAAGTGGTCTTCAATGGCATTACAACGATAAAAACGCTGCTGAAGTTAATCCATAGGTTAATCTAATGTGTCTGTGTCCCTTTGAAATGATTTCTGATAATCCATAAGCATTAAAACTGCTTTTCCATTTCCAGATGTCAAAGCTAGAGATAGGTCCACTCTGATGCAAAATTACATGCGCGAAGCCCCCACCTTTTCTCTTCACAACGTGTGTGTGTGGGGGACTCCCCCTTCGATTCTATTGGCTCTAACGGTCAGAAAGAGGTGTCAACCATCAAAATCGAGCAAGGAGGGCCAGAGATATGGAAAATCCACCCAAATGACCCCAGAAGTGATTTCTTTTTGCTAAATCTCTCTAAAAAGGTCAAATTTCACTTGTTTTGCATCAATCTTGATACAGGGTACTTATTATATGTTGTACTTTGGATTCCTAAAGCTTTTAGTCTACTAACCCATCATCCAAGGGTAGTTTTCACTATAAGTAAAAAATAATTTTTGGACGGACACTATAATTTACAGATTTTTACTATGTAAAATCTGAATTTTCTTTAAAATAAAAAACATCTATATTGATTCTGACTTTTCTACATCCAACTCACAGGTTTATCATTACTTTGAGAATAAAGATTATTAATTTAACCATTTTAGAAGTGAAGATATGGTCGTTTGTTCTGGGAATGTCATTTTCGAGTCTGAGACCTGAAAAACAGGCTCAGGGCTTAACAGGTTAAAACAGAAGCTTCAGATTGCTGATAATAAGAGGAAATATGAAGGGTCTATTTCAAGCTTGTTATGAAAATAAGTTATTGGGCTTTTTTCTTATCAACTTAGATTTTATAGAACATGTTTTCAACTTGAATTGACTGACTTTATTTGAAAAAGTGGGTTTATTAACACATGAGGAAGAAGTACAATACAAGACCAGTCCAGGTTTAATTTGAGGGCCATACTTCATCATGCTTTTTAGAGTTTGCTGAGGGCCGATTCAAAATGGCCCGCGGGCCGCATTTGGCCCCTGGGCCGCAGTTTGGACACCCCTGGTCTAAAGCTTTGAACTCTTGGACAGAGAATCAGAATCAAATCAGAATCAGGTTTATTGCCAGGTACGTTTGAACATACAAGGAATCTGCTTTGGTGTCTGCTGCTGCCAACATAAACAATCTGAACAAATAAGCTGAAGGTAAGAACAAATATTTATAAGGATAATAAAAATAGGTATTTTTAAGAAACAATTTAGCATTAAAAAAGGCAAGTGTTTACACCAAATGTAAATGTAACTATATCAATAACCTTAAAAGCTAAAAAACTAAAAACACTTAGGACAATGAGTATACGGCAACCAATGTATTCTTTTTTTAAGAGGAGGGCTGTGCAGACATGCATTTGCAGACATGTGCAAAACATAGTCAGAGAGTTGAGCATGAACATGGCTCACAGTGTTACAAAAGACAAACAAGAACAAGATGTGCAATAATCAAAAGTAAAAATCACATGAAAAACACTTTTATCAATAATGACCCCCCCCCCCCCCCTCAGGGCAGGGTGAGCTGCACTGGCAGGATGATGGTTCAGGCCGTGAACCAGAGAGGACGCAGCCAGCGCTCTGCACCCGGACACATGCGCAGGTACGTCCAGGAGGAGAAGAAGATGTAACCAAAATAAGATCAAATATGTTAACCCTAACCCTAACCCTCCTAGTTACCCTGGTCTTACTGAAACCTGAATCAGAATCAGATGGCAGCAAAAAACACAAACTAAATCTAGATGTTTTTAACCCTGAATCCTGATAAATATTCTGGTATTTATATTTGATATAAATGCTTTATAATGGTCAGTGCCGTAGAGACTGAGTGTTTCAGTGTGTGTTGCTTATTGTGTGTTATCATTCATAATCAGCCATAAATCACATCTTCTCTGTTAGACATTATTTCATTTGTATTCATGGTCCTTATCTAACTTTGAGCATTTCTTATTAAAGGCCCCGGTCCCGGTCCAGAGACAGCGGCGATGAGAACGATAACATCCAGGAGAGACACTTCAGACCTCACTTCCTGCAGGCGCCCGGAGACCTGATCGTTCAGGAGGGGAGGCTCTGTAGGATGGACTGCAAGGTACACACACACACACACACACACACACACACACACACACACACACACACACACACACACACACACACACACACACACACACACACACACACACACACACACACACACACACACACACACACACACACACACTAACACACACACACACACACACACACACACACACGTATACATCACCTCAGGGGACATTACATTGACTTACATGCATTTCCTGGAGACTTATGCTAAACTCAACCATAACGGCCCGTCCACACAGCGGCGTGCGTTGAAGCTTGCTCCATTCACTTGAATGGGGTGACGTCACGCTTCGCCGAACTGCATTGTGGGGAGCGTAGCTACGCGTTGCTCGCTGCAAAAGTTGAGCCATGTTCAACTTTTGAAGCTTCTGAAGCTTCGGTGGAAGCGTCAGCCAATCAAATCCCGTTTATGCAGCCAATCAAACCGCCTGTATGCTGGGAGAGACACACCGCAGGTCATTTCCTCATATTCCAAAAAATGGAGCAAGCTTCAACGCACGCCGCTGTGTGGACGGGCCGTAACCAACACATGCCTAACCCTAACCCTAACCCTGAACCTAAAATGAATGATTCCCCTTATGAGGACCTCCATGTTGTCCCCATAAGGGAGGTGAGTCCCCACACGTGACTGTGTAAACAGATTTAGGTCCCCACAAGTATAGTAATGCTAGGCCACACACACACACACACACACACACACACACACACACACACACACACACACACACACACACACACACACACACACACACACACACACACACACACACACACACACACACACACACACACTCACACACACACACACACACACACACACACACACACACACACACACACACACACACACACACACACAC